GAAAATTCCTCTCCTAAAGTGAAATGTCTAATTAAAAACGTAGAACGGCGAAATTGTATTACTATTACTTTTATTTCGAGGAGGAAATTTCCCTTTAAAGTTGAACGTAGTTAAAAAAGGCGAAATGTACCGCCGTTTTGGTAAAGTCTCTTACGAGCGAATATTGCCATTGTAAAATTTCAGCTGTTTGCCAACTCGGTAAATTGCCACTGACATTAAACAGATTTCGAGCTCGAGCGATTTCGCAGAAGAGATTATAGTATTAAGCGACGCGAAGCAATAACTCATTTGTCACATGCGTGATTTATTGTTAATAAGTGTTATTGAAATTCATTTCGAATGCGCGTTTCCCAACACAGTTAACGCATGCCAATTAATGTTATTGAATTTAGCGGTATGCAGTCGTTCACTGCCTCTCAGCAAAGTGGAGTGAAAACAGCTCGAGTTTCGTACGGTTGCGAAGAAACAAGGGAGAAAGAAATACGCGAATCTTCCCGCCGGCGATATTGAAATTATCTCTCTCGCGATCGATAATGGGAAATCGAAGCCCGTAGCTTTATTTCGTTGAAAAGCAGAAAACGCGCCCGAGAGCAGAAACGAATCGCAGCGACACTTTACGAGATTCATGGCGTCGAGTAGGATCACGTAAGAACGAGTGCATCGCTTGGGAATCCTCGCGTGAAAAATAACTTCTTCTCGGGAACAATTAAGAAAATGATGTCCGTAAATTTCCGTAAGTCGCAGAAGCGTTTTAAAAGTGTCTCCTCGTGAACGACGTAATTGCTTCCATCAATCCGCACCGAGACAAATTAAAGTGGCATCAGCGGATGCGCCACGGCCTCGTGAATTTAACGACATTTCCATAGTTCAAGGAACGACTGAGATAGATAGTTCTTCGATAAGGACTCTACGCTAGAATATGCAAAACGAAATGACGCGCGAGAATGAAGGAGAGAGGACTGAAATTTTTCTCGTCAAGTGGGATGAAGAAGGGATCACTTTCTTTATTTTAATTGATCGAAGAATAATTATTATACGCATATACGATTCTGAACAGTTGCTCAGAAAAAGTATTTGAACATTGATAGAGTATATCGTACGTGTAAGGGATTTCAAAATTTCATTATTGTTACAGTGAGATATATCAGTCAAGTTTGAAACAAATCAGAAGATATGCATAAAAATTATAGTATATATTTTTGCAGGGATTAGAAAGTTATTTGAACGATCCGTTGTATCAATGAGTTTGAATATTCAGTGGAACTATTTTTATATGAACTTTCGATTGATATTGATATACTGAAGTAATTAAGTTTAATTAATCAACATTCTAATTGGCACGAGTAAAAAGTTATGAATCGATTGAAATATATATACTGTACATATTAATGTTTTATTGAATTTGACATCTACGATAACTTTTATATACATTTTCAGAATGATTCCAAATTTTACTGATACAATCGTCTCTATGTAGTGTTAATGAAATTTCATTACGTTGTACGCATAGTGTACCTAATATATAACATAACATATATACATAAATGTTCTCTGGCAATTGTTGGAATACTTTCGCGAGTCACTCTCTGTATGCATTATATCTTCGTGTAAAAGAAAATGATTAAGCGGCCATGAAGTTTCCAGATATTCTCTGGCGTCATTAGCGGCGCACAAATAACAGTAACGTTCAAATTACCTACCGTTAGTCACCAGCAAAGAAGGATCCGCCTTAATTTTCCGAGAATACTAATTAAGTATCACTAATTAATTCCGCAGGTTGATGTAATTTATGCGAACAGCTCGTTATCAAACAGGTGGTATTCAGCGGCTAATGACCTAGGAACACCAATAATTCATTGATTAACGCCATCTACTGAATAAACAATAAGCGTTCCATTTTGCCAGCCCCTTCGTCGCACTTCCTCTCTCTTTCTATTTTATTCGCTTTGTAACTCGTTTCTCGCCCCGTGATTCGCTACTCTTTTCTCCTCTCCGTTAGAATGTAACAATCAAATTTAATAAGACACGGCGATAATTCGTTAGCAGGTTGCTCGAGTGCTCTCCGAAAAGCGGCGGGAAATTTAATACTTTTCCAGCGTGCCTACGAAAACATTGCCTTAATAGGAGGTCTCATTAGGCTTTAATTGTATTCCGAAACGCAGCTCGAGACGATCCTCTCGTCAGAGGGAAAAGAAAAGCGAAACAAGAGGCTGAGATTTAACATCTCATTGATCGTTGAGGAATAGATTAACATTGGAACACCGACGACTACAGTGCAGAGTGCAAACAACAAGGAAAGATTTTTAACGCAATATTAAAAATTTACAAATTATAACAATGGCTAAATTTTCTAAAAACACATCGTCGTGAATGTCGGACATTTCTACGAAAAATTACAAAATTTGGTAATTTTGATCGTTCTGGTGTAGTTGAAGTGTAAAATCCTTCCCTTTTCTTTTCCTTTTTCTTCTTTTTTTCTTTCCGCTGTACAAGATAGACAGCTACGCGGCCGATTGAACGAGGGAGCTGAGGAAGATAGATGGAAATATATGCACGATACCGGTCTCTAACCGGTATCGCGATGGCGAATCGGCAATTTATCGAAGGCGAATACCGTTCGCCACCGAATAGGCAAGTAACTGCCGAACATTGCGAGGCCTTCACAACGATCTGGATAAAATAGCGTATAATTAGATAGGGTGTAAGATATATTTGGAGCGTGTCCATGTTGGCCAACGGCCAGAGTTCACCCTTTTGATATATACGCGCAAACGAGGTCAAGAGGGTGCCCTCTCGCGTCAGGGAGATACATCGCGGCCGCGTTCGGCAACTCTCGCGCCGCGCCGATTGATTAAATCTCCTGCAAATTATCAGTCATTACCCGATTTAAGCAGTGTCGTTTCCAGATTGTCGTTTTACACAGTTTTCTCACAGCTTTCGCTATCACTGTGAAAATGTTGTTCAATGGAAAGAAGCGACGACGGGGATGATATGTGAATGAACGTGTTTTCGTTCGATGTGAATGAAGAACTGTGTACTTGCAACATATCGGACAAATCTGTCTCCTTTACGTTAGATTTTTGCTTTTTGAGTTATTTTAGTATTATAGTAATTTAGGGGAATAATTCAAGCGGCTATATTTAAGAATATTATTATTTATACTAACGTATATTTATTTTGTAATCGTACAATTACTCTCCTTCTATAATCACGTGACTTCGTCGTTCCCTTCTGAGAGTTAATGATATTCCTGAATTGACTAGTCACAGCAGCTTCACGTCGAACGAGACAATCGGATCGATTGTGATTTATCAAAATAGAATTTTTAAACTATTCCTGACGAACTGAAATGATTTTTTCTTTTGCGTTTGAATCATTCTATAATTTATAATTCATTTGAAGTTATTTCGTAATAAAATGCAAAGAATTACAGACGATTACACATTAGTTTGGATATATATAAAACAGTTTAACTGCACTAAACTCTCTATTACCAGTCTAATAACATATTAAGATCCTTCAAATATTGATTCGTACAATAGAAGCACCTGTATACTCGGAAATATTGTAATATCGAGCGAAAGGACGGTGCTTGTTAACGCTAATTAGAATTATTAGATAACAATGTAAGTCGACAGTATCGAGCGTAATCCACATCATTTATGAACACGCTGCGTGCGTCCGCGGGAGAGCTTTAGCTTAGCTTAACACCGTAGAAAATTAATTGCGCACACTTGACAAGTTAAGCCGCGGCCGTGTAATTAAGAAATATCTGATAACAAACTTTCGGCCGGCTCGGAATTTATAGCAACGGGGCAATGTTTGAAAATTTATCAGCTAGGGACGTAAAGATTCGTTAAGTACAAAACCGATACAACGACCCAAGAGAAACAGCGCCGTGCGACGTACAATATCAGAAGAACAACAAATGGCTTTCCGCGTTACACCCCCGTGAATTATGTGCAACGCTTTATCGACTGTAAAAATTTATTCGAAACTTTTGAGCAGTCCCTGGATTCTGACGAGCAATAATAAATCACGCTTTGCAATCTTACGCTTTCAAGAATTCTATTTTCCCCTGTTTATAGGTAGTGATGAAAGACTGATTTCATGTAAATCAGCGGATTCTTCTCAACTTTCAAATAACACAGTTGCGGTTCAAAAATATGAGAGATCAAAGAAGCTACACAACTAATTAACGCGTTAGTCCATACACCTCGATATTTTTTATGTTAATTATTCTCCATTTGAGCTCAGATTTTCGAAATTCACAGTCCTCGCTTCTTCAACTTCCTTCCTTTATAATTAATCTGATATTCTCAATTTTATTCATTGTCAGAAATCAATTTCTAAGCCGTGGAATCAAAAACGTACGATTCTTTGGATCTTCTATTAGATCCAATCCAATTACACGGAACCGCCAATTTCGAACGTTTCACCAAACGGTTCAAATTTCATCGTTCACGAGAGTCACAGTATAGCCGATATACTCTGGACTTGCGTATTCTATTCTCTTGCGTACCACGTTCCCGTTCGCGTGTTTCAGCGTTTCTAGTTCGATTCGGGAAAGGGTCTAGGGCCTGCATCGAAAGCGGCTATGATTCTGAAAGAGGGGGGGAACGGAGATAGATAAGGTGGTCGCGATTATTCACCGGTGAAATTCAGCTCCTCGTGGCACGTGGTTTCACGCGGTGGTTCAACGAAAAGCCGTAGCGACTGATTTGCTAAAATTATTCTTTAGGTTGAGCGTAACGAGCGTGGTGTTGCCGATAACCGACAGGAAACGGCCACTCGTAAATTCTCCTCGTATCATATGATTCACGAAATGGTCTGGTGGTTTCATTATGTTCTACGTAATTGGCGACTCCGTGCGAGGACTCCGCTGTTCCGAAAATGGACCCTTCCTTTTCGCCAAGATAACACGCTGTAATAAATCATCAACAACGTACGACTCACCGGGATGTTTCTCTTTGTTATCTGTCTTTCGATCATTCGCAAAAATGATGATTCCTCTGGCACTGTCTTCGATTGATGAGTACTTCAATCATGCAAAACTGCAAGTATTGCGAACAATTATACAGTTTTATGGAATAACGGAAGAATGACAAATTTTAAAATGTACGAAGTTAAAAATTCTCAATGGAACTATTGTTTGAAATAACGATATACATCTGTTAATAATAGATGTTGTAACCTCAGTTCAGAAGTTCGAAACACCCATTGATTTTACACTGGATAAATCTTTTTGTACATTTTTTCCGACAAGCATCAATTGTGAATGAAATATTTATTTACTTAAGGAATTATTTTTCCTGAAATTTTACTAGAATGTATGTATAATAATTTCCATTTCTTTTCACCGTTTAAGGTTGAAAATGTTCCAGGTACGTTTCATTCGACAATAAATTCATAAAACGATTTTCCTTTGACCGGCTCATTCAGTGATTCAGAATTTTATTACCACATCTTAATACCTTGTCATCGAATCCATCGACGATGTAAGAAATAAGAAATCAACGACATGGTTTTATGATTTCAGAGAGCCTTAGAGAGTACTTCACCAAGTACGGGGACATCACAGAAGTCATGGTCATGAAAGATCCCACCACGCGGCGATCAAGGTATGGCGAGACTTATATCCGCAAAATACTCCAACGTTCCCTAAAAAAAAAAAAAAAAATACTCCTCACCAACTACGTTACGAATTTACTAAAAACCTCTTCACTTTTTTTCTGTATCTTTATGCATCGCGATAAGAGTCGAAGGAGCATCCGGGCTTTTACCACCGATACGAGTGTTCGCGATCGTTTATCTTGACGCAGTAGTTTTATGGGACTCGAGGATCCTGAGTTACGGGGGCGTTTGACGACCGACCGTGGACCCTTCGGACCCTTTATTAGCAGCACCGTCGAGTTCTGCGTTCGCATGTTCGCGTTTCCTTTCGATCGCGTACATGCAAGCCGAGCGCAGTCCGTTCTATTCCGTTATAGCGCGTTATGCTAATCGCCGCTCGGATTAAATAGGCCGCGAGGCGGCTTTATATAATATCGGTATTCGTTAGGAGCGACTCGGAGGCCATCGGATCGGTCGTTAGCCGCGATAACGACCGTCGTCATAGTAGTCAGAATGCCAGGCCCAGGTTGATGCTTCTGCGGATTTACAGCACGGGATAACGATCGGTTGCGCCATTTCGCGAATGATTGAAAAGAGACTGTCACGAAAGACTTGTTGACATACGAGTAATATCCGGCGATGATTAATGAAACAGATTTAAGAGGAACAACGTTGCGAGTACAACATAATTGGAACTTTGGTCTCGGAGATGTTCAACGTTAGAACTACTTAGGACTTTAATATATTTCATAGAAATTTCCTAGAAATTCCTATTTAGGTATAGTTTAACGTGTTAATTTTTCGCCAGTTTTAATATTAATTTAGTCCATTGAAACAGTAATTGCTTTGTTGAACTTCCTTCCTCTCGCTATTATTTCGCGATCGCGCACAGTACAGAATGAATATTTTGTTCGTAATATTACATTCTTAATTGACCGATTACATTAAAGAAATATAGATAAAGAAAACAGAGTTCGTTTGGCCCAAAAGTAAACGATCCTATTTCTTGAATTATTTCCGCGAAAATAAAATATAAACTTGCGTAAGTATCCACGCATCTACGATCGTCTAGATTAATTTTCAAAGAGTCACCTGCGCAGGCACCCTCGCGAGCAAGGTCGTCCACGCTAGAATTCCACCGATAATTCCAACTGATAGCTGCTTCTTTCGCTAGATAGTCTCGAGGACGGCGCGAGATACCTCCTGCACCTGTTCGAAGCGTATCGCGCGCGTGCAAACTCTATTTCGGCAACGCGGCGTTGCACAGCAGCATTAATAATGACACGTACGCTTATAGGCATACAGCACGCGCCACGTATTCGAAGATGGTAGGCCCAGATGCGTCGGCCAAGAATAGACTTATCAGCCAGATAAATGTGACAACGAACGCGAGAGAGAGAGAGAGAGAGCCTAGCTTTACCTGCCGGCGAGCTGCTTTACTCGCGCCGACCGATCCCAGGCGCCCATTATTTCCTTTCGCTATCTACCGCAGATGCATCGCACTTACCAACTCGCCGCCCGCGCGGCTGCATCTGCGCGCACGCGGATTTCGTGCCCGTTATCCCTTTCCCGTATCTATCGCGGGACATTATCGCAAAACACTGTCCGACCGAGGCCGAAAATAGGTTATCACTGCACCTCTCGAAATTCGATTGCCAATTTTTGCAATGTATTTCCGTCCCACCGATATATATAGTATATATACATTCTTCGTTAATGAAATTGGCTTTTTTCCTCAGCTATTTCTCGTCTATTGTGAAACGTGCGTTCTGCCAGCTGCAATTATTGCAGAAATATTCCAGGAAAATGGAAATGACGGAATCGGGTCGATCGATGTGGAGAATTCGATAGGGAGAGATACTTGAATTTATAATTCTGCGAGTTTTGGTGTTGATAAGGAAACCACGTGGTGTAAAGGGGATTGAAATTTAGAATATTTTCACGAAGTTAGCAAATGGGAGTTACAACGTGTACATATTATACTGAAAATTCAATTTTGGATAAAACTAAGATGATAAAATGATAGATCACATTCGTCTACCTATTTTATGCTTTGAATATAAAATTAATAGCTCCAAACTTCTGAACAGCGGCATATTTCATGTTCGGTGTGACGAAGATCGTCAACGTTTACTTCGCGAAATAAATAAAACACAGAAGTGAAACTACCAAACAATGAAAAATCGAGTAACTTATCGCGAATAACCATAGATTCTTCGTGTTATCACCAGCTGTGCCACCTGCTTTCCTCGAAACAACAGAAATTTCATCATCGCGACGGGAGTTTAATCCCGAGAAATCTGAAAACTCGCGAGATACCGATTATAGACACTAGCTAAATGAATTCAAACAGAAAACCGTAGGTATTAATAATTTTCGAATTTCCGACGGAGGGCCGTTTCTAACGTCGAAATCGAGCAAAAGTCCTCTCTCTATATAGCTAATTTGTATTCCAATTCGAGAAGTCGCGAATAATTTGCAGTTCACGCGCGCTGACAAATGTACTTTCGACGCGATGCGCGACCTTCCCTCGCGAAATATTAAGCGCGGCCCGCGCGAGTACACCTGTCGAATAAAAACGGTCCGACGAATCGAGCGGAAAGTGTAAATCTGTACGGTTGTCAACGAGCCGACGAGATTTATAAATGAAGAAACACCGATGTGCGCCTGTTGCTAGAGCGGTTCGCTCTAAAATTCGATCAACCTCGGAGAGGAATCATTTAGAGATGGGATTTAGAGTGCCTCACAAGTGGATCTGAAATTTTTAGTCTCTCGGCCAAATTTTTGTGCCAGGTGATATATATTGCAATGTGTTTTTATTATTGTAATATTATTTTAAAATACGGATTAAACATTCAAAAGATTGACATGCATATCTACGTTTCAGAGATTTTTAATTGAATGAAACAGGCTCTTGTTTCCTTACACGCAAACACAACATTATACGTTATATTATACATTAACGTATAGTCATAATTGTATCGATATAAATATATGTTCGGTATTTATAGAAAATTCCATATTTAGAGGCTCAAAAGCAGAAACCGTAGTCAGTTCAATCCACGTATGAAAATCGAAATCTCGTATGAAAACGAACCACAGACACACGGTATAAATGTTATCATTTTCATATCCGATTTTTGGTTGTCTCCTTTCGATCCTTTGAGGAGAGAAGTGAATTCTGATTTCCAAAAGAATGAAACTTGGACATCGATGAACTTGCTTCGCATTCGTGAGTACGTGTTTGAGTTGATTCCATCCCTAAAGTTAATAGCAACGTAGTAATAGGGGCCAATGCCGAATTTATCGATGGTAATTTCCCTTACTTTCTGCTCCGAGGTCCACGGAATATTCGTCTCCGCGCCGGAGAAGCCAAAATAATCTCAGGCGTTCTCTCGCGGATATTGATGATGTCATTGCCACGTGCTCGCCGAGAGTTTCTGCCGTGTTCCACGCATTGGAACACCGATGAATATGAAAAGGCTAGAGTAACTGACAAGCCAAAGATTGGCACGTCTATAAATAATCGAGCCTCCCGGAACGAACACATCCTTCTCGTCTTCCTCGCGAAGAAGCTCGTTCGCCAAGTTCGCGAGCGTTCGGAAATTTTCGCGCGATCGGTTTCAAAATCTGAAACGTTCGACAGCTCTGACTTTTTCAATATTTGAAAATTGAGAATATTTCATTTTTCGAGATTTCCTTGGGGATTTCCAAGTGATTCTTGCGACACCAATTTTATTTTATTTTGCTTTCGGGTAAATTTTGTCCGGAACCAGGTTAGGTTTCTGCCGTTTATTGGCCTATTAACGTATTCATTACATTAGTCTTGCGTGACTATCGCACGCCTCGAGCTATTCGATTATTTTGCCTGGCCCGGCACTCTCTCTATAATTATTTTTTGTTTACGTTCTAGCGCAATACAATATCGTTTTAAGGTAATAGTATGTTATCAATTTGTTGACAATTTCATTGGGATTTTATAAGAAAATTATTACAAGAGATATATTTCAAAATTAAAGGCAATGGTGACAGAATACCCGGCACTTTCAAAGATTTGATGAAACCCGTTCGCCCGATTATTCTTCGAACTCCCAGCGAGATAGTTGTTTTCTGTTAATTCAGATTCCCCGTACAATTTGCACAGTTCCCTTCTAATTGTATCTTAGCAGCTGATGCAAATTGTCCGAAGTTCTGGTTAAGTTTCCAAGTGAAATTGTTGCGCCGTGACTCGGTAACCTTGCGACTCTGCAGCTCGTCTAGATTCGAGTTTCGCGTTGCGATGCACGAGACGCGGGGAAACAGGAACAGGTTTTCACCTGTGAAATCGAGCAACAGTTACAAGAGTGCAAGTTCTGGCAAACAGAAAATCCACGCGCGCCCGGTTACGAACGTTAAATGCCGGCATCAGAGTAATTACCGGTTTTTAAGTGGAGGAAACGAGGGGACGACAACGACCACGACGTCGACGAGGGTCGAAAGAAGGGGGTGAGAGATCGACGAAGAGGGTGTGTCGAGCCGGCACAGGTGGCTTTGCACCGAGGGGAGAAGCGGTCGAATTTCAAGTGCAAAGTGCTTTTCGAAAGTGGATTCCAGCAATTTCGCGAAATTTCTGCGACAATTTGCAATGGCCGTGCTTTCAAAAATAGTCGGAAAGGATTTTCGTGTAATTTTACTCCTGGATACAGGAGTTTCACGCTGGAAGAGAAATTTCGTGGCATAGTAGTTAGCGATTTCTTCTTTTATTTCATCTCATTTCATTTCGTTGATATTGTCATCCTCGAGGGCACCTTGATTAATTAATAATTATAATTTCTACAATAAACACTTGTGTCTTAAAAATTAATAATAATAATAATAATATAAATCTTTTGCGCCTTTTCTTACGGAAGAGTGAAATTAAATGAAAATTAGTTGCATATTTATTTCCACAAATTGCCTTATTCGTTCGTCGACATTACTCGTCAAGTTGGAATCGAAACTCATACTCGCTTATCGTGATTTACACGGGACTATGGTTATCCTGTCCTATTTAGTTAAATTGTGAACGTACGTATACATACACCTAGAATTTATCATCACACTGCTATACAGCTTTCTTCCACTCGTCGAATTGCACTCTCGTTTCAAACATTTTCAAAGATAGACAACGACTATTGTAAATGACAAACAACGTATTCTCTCGACCGGGAATGACTCGAAGAATACCCCTCTGTCTTTCGTCGCATCTTCGAGTAGATTCACTCCTGAAGGAGTCGCCTGTTCGCTTATTCGCGTTGTCACAGTGCAGGATCTCGCTCGTTACGATGATACACAGGCGCTCGAAATATCACAGATTCCGGAGTGACACCGTTGCCTTGATAATTCATTACATTCGTCATGGTGTACTTACGGTAATGCGTTCCACGAAGTGGCACGCTTTCATGATTTACGCTATTCCTGTGTGAATAGGAGACAGCCGGTCCTCCTTTTGATGTATCCTCGAATGGTTCGTGATCAAAGCACTGTATAAACATGCAAGCGAGAGGAATGTTCGACGCGCTGAAATCATCGTGTTGTGATACTCGCCGCGCATAACCGGCGAATTAAGTCCTGGACACTTTGACATATTGTTTGACACTGAAAACGAACGAACGGGACACGGGAAAGGATAACAGCGTCGTCGAGTGGCCGGCATCTTGGCCATGTCGTTCCTCGATGATTTGACGACATTTGGGCTCACCAGCGGCATCCTGTCACCGTGAAAACCGTGTCACATCCGGGTCTTACTTCGCAGCCAGCTCTTCTTCGCGCCACTGCGGATTACGTAACTATGGAGAACGTCGAAAGCGGGACTCAACATCTCCAGCTGCGATTCGAGACGATCCACTTTGAGTTTCCGCCTGTCTGCCTGTTGCAAATTAGCTGATGATATATTAGGTGTCTTCGGTACGAGTCCGCGAGACAAGTGTTTCGTGTTAATGTTTATCAAGCATGAAATCGAAATCGTCGCCGATTTCCTTTCGCTTCTGAAGATCTTTTAATAAACGTTCAGCGTATTTCGTGCGAACTTTGGAATCACGTCAGTTATCAATTGTTGAATCTAGCTTCACTTTGAAGACAAAATATGGCAAAAGCATTTTGTTTCGTTGCTTTTTCTTTACGTTGTTTCTTTCGTAAGAGAGATTATTTATTATCGCCATTATTGACAACTTTTGCTTTATACGCTGGAATTAATGACTTTTTAAAATAAAGTCTTTGCAAGTTATTTTCTATTTAAAGGTTAATATTTGCTGGCTTCACGTTACATAAACATTTTTATACTCAGAAGAAAAATTTGGTTTATAGAGGGTTGAAGGGAGAATAAAATTAAGCACGATTTTAATTTTTGAGAAATTTAAAGTTAAAAAATCCACGTATGATCTATTCGAAATAGGGTGCTTATCATTTAACGGAAGAGATAAGTTTCCATTTAAATTCCATTGCTAGTTACACGCATAAAAATATAAACTCGCAATCTAATAATAAATCTAATAATATCATAGGACGCGTAGTGTATTATTTATAGTGACATGCATAGTACGTTATTTATAAAAGAAATGTGCGTAGTATGTTATTTATAATACGGTCTTAGTTTATAATAAGACCGAGTGTGTTATTTATAATTAGACTGAGGATGTTTATGCATCCATGAAAACTTAGAAGCACGAAAATACACTGAATGCACCAAACATCCGAGAATATTTGGATGTAAAACGTGCGAAATATAATTCTCGTTGTAATACGTGACGGGTGACATGAATTCATTTAGTTCGGAATTTGCAGAAATATCAGATTGCATGCGCAAATCTATTTATAATGAAAGGAAGCTGTCACGCTTTCGTCATACGTTCCAAAGAACGATCACCAAAAATAAATTCAGATCGCCACTTTTGAAATATTCGACTCGCAGGGGATTCCAAGTGATTTTCCATTCCGGAACGTTTACAATTAACAAGAGGTTTCCAAAGTATTCCTGAAGCGAAAGAGCACAGAATCACGATATTCACGGTGTGCTCAGATTAGTTTCCCCTTAGACAGACGGGGAATCGTCGACGACATCGCGCGCAGCATTGAATTATCTTCCCCTCGGTAACGTTTATCTCGGTGTTCTATTGCCTTTTACGGTATCTGGAATTCATCACGCCGGGTTACACAGCTAATTGGCGCGTTTCTATAACGGCCGTGTTGTTAGAGGGATTGTACCGGCGATAATCGCAGTTAAATTGTCGCGCGACTCTTTAAATTATCCTGTCCCGTTTGCTCCAACGTCGGTTACTCTCCGCTCGCTTGCTCTTCCCCGTTTAATTAATTGGCCAGAAACTTTCTGCCGTCCGACTCGACTCTCTCTCTAATTATTCATTCCTTTCGTTCCCCGTGAGAACGAACGAGAGAGCGAAAGCTGCTAAACGACAGAGAAGGGAAATACCGACAGAGAAGAACGAACGCGAGAGAGAGAGAGGGATGGATAGAGAGCCACGATACAGCCGGACAACAAAACGAAACACGGGACAACTTACTTGCGCCAAGTTATAAAGCAGAAGCAACAGCCGGGCCTATTCACACCCGCTTATTATATCGAAATAAAGCCCCCCCGTAGAATCGAAGTACCTTCCCCTCCCTTTTCCTTTCGCGTTCGTTCTCTATTCACCCCGTCGATGTTCGCCCGGATAACCCTCGGAGTCCAATGGCAATTAGGAATTCCATTCTTTCGCTTTTCTGAAAGCGCTTTATTCGTCGACGCGTTTTAAGCTCGGTGAACGTTCTAACGTTCAGCAAGGTCCGACACACCGTGTCCCGGTGATTGTGCTCTTCCGAAGCTTCGAATCTTTTAATCCACTTGGGCGACGAGTTTGTTCATTAAGAGGGGGAGTGGAAAGAAAAAAGAATTGTTGCAAGGATTAATCAACATTGAAAGTTCCGTGGGATTTGCATACTGTTTCGTCGAGATGAAAGCACGTCAGTGTAATCTACGCAAAATCCATTATATATTATACAAATCGAGCACGGTGATCGAGTCAGAAGTGATCGCCACGTTTAAAAATTTCGAAATATTGGTCCAGATGAGTTTTAAACAGGGGCAGCTGGCAAAGTCT